GAGAAAGTGTTGAGAGCGGCAACGGAGAGAGCACGGAGAACGGAAAACGTATTATGGGGCCCAAGGATCCTATTTATAGTGATGACGTGGAATACCAAACGTCACCTCGTTCAACCACGGACTCCATCTCCTCGACGCGCTGCTCCCAACGCAATGATGGCCCTACCCCCCTAGGGTGGCGGCACAGCTCCCGAAAGATGCCTCGTGTGCTCGACCGACACGCCCGGTACGGATCCTCCATGCATCCACCACCGAGGACGTCTCCCAGCACGACACGAGGAGGCCCCTCGAGGGCCCACACCTCCATCCCGGGCACGAGACCTCAACGACGGAACAACTTGGTTTCAAGTCATGGCTCCTCGCAAAGGAACCACGACTTGGGGGGCTCCTGTTCTGGACTGGGCCCGACAGGCCCAAAAGCATTTCTAAGGCCCAGTCCAAAGGGACTCACTAAGGACCACACTGGGCAAAGGGGGTCACATCCATGATCGACACCCTGATGTCCACCTCGACATCTCGATGTCCAACCCCACGCGGTGAAGTCGTGCTCGACACCCTGCCGTCCAGCTCTATGTCCTGGCGTCCAGCTCGACACCCGCTGTCCAGCTCGAGGTCCTGGCGTCGAGCTCGGCACCGTGCTGCGCAGCTCGACATGGTCTCGAGCCACCCGGCTAGGGCAGACACAGTCCACCGTTCCCCCAACGACACTCCGGAAAGACCGCGTCTCCGTCCGCCCGCACTTCACGCAGCACATCCAGGAAGGGGACCACGTGCGGGTCCCCACTACCCACGTAGAACCTGGCAGTTTCTCCATTGGGCCAAATCCGCCCGGCCCAATGAAGGAACCTTGGCCCAGCGCTGGGGGCTATAAATACCCTCTGTTTCCAGAGGGTCAGGTATTGATCATTCTAACCTCAACTCTATTATCTGCTCGTACTCCCACTGACTTTAGCATCGGAGTGCCTTGCAGGTACCCCCCCCTCCTCGTTCAAAAAGCTTTCTGCTCGGAGTCAGCCGTGACGGTCCAAACCTTCTGATCAGGTCAGATCAATATCCAACTTTGGTTAAAAAAGAATAAGGTGTTTTATCTGGGGCAGAGCTTGATGACGATAGTCAAAATACCAAAGAAGATGATGTTTATGATATTGGTGTTGGTGATTTCACTAGAGCTTTGGATGTTTGAAGCTATTTGCATATCTGTTTTATGGTTTTTTTTTTATATAGTCGCCAATGAAGAAGTCATTAGTACTTTAAGTCTTTAACTACATAATGTTCTATTTTATTTGTTTTATTATCGAGTTTTTCTGTTAAGAAATTTGTTAAGGAGTATGAAATTTTAATTTTGATATTTATTGGTGTTCTATTATATATACTTGTGTCATATATGTGTCACTTATAAATTTTTGAAAATCATTTTTCATTTTTCATAGACTCCTACGAGTCTGTGAGAGGAGTTTGCAAGTCGAGTCTACGGACTATTTATGAGTATGAGTAGACTCGTGAGTCTGACTACTTTGATAATATGTCCATTCTCAAAGAATAACCTCTATTCTTGACCATAAATAAACTCAATTCATAGAGAAATTGATGGGTGTCTCACCCTCACCTCACACAATAAGGCTGATTGATCTTCCATGTTGAAAGCATTCGAGAAATTTACCGTGATCATAGTCAAAAAGCCATATTTGTGTCGCTTGCTTAACACCCTGTTAACACTTTGTAAAATAGCTCCAACACCATGTGAAACCTCAATTACAAACTAGAAGTCATTGAGATGACATATCACATATTTAATGATTATTTCATAGCAACTTTGGATACCAACTGAAAATTGCCTCCAAATAGAGCCATAACAATCGGTTGTATCCCACCATCATGCTTTAATAACAATATCAAGGGTGCAAGGATAAAAGAATTCTACCAAACTCATGAGACATCTTCCTCCTAGTCATAAGTTAACAACTAGAGTGATTACATATAAAAGATCTCTTGCCACAAGAGAACCTTCTCCACACAATGTGTCTAATATATGTTGAGCTTGCAAACCATCTCTACCATATGACATCCATTTGGGAAATGATTTAATGCACTTGAAGATAATATCAGTTTAAGCCACTAGGGAAGCTTCGGAGAACAAGGTGGTCGACATGGAGAAAGGTGGTCTATATAAGTGCTTAACCTCTAAAACATTCACTGTATGCCCATTGTAAAAGGGCCACTCCAAATGACCCAACATTTTTACCGCTGTTGTGAAATGTCCACCTGTAACCTTGCGGGGGAATTACTTGACGTTAGAGCTTATTTTTTAATCTTTCTCCTCAAAATGAGCTTCCTAAATGATCCAAATTATCTTGCTCAGAGTTGCCAAACACACTATCAACTAACTTGACAATACCATATGCGTCTCTCCAAGTAGCTAAGCACTCCAAAATGTGATGTTGTTGCAAGGACTTCTGATTTCCAAACGTGTGATCCTGCCTATTATGAGACTTAACCAACCATAAAGTACAACAAGAAAGAAGTAAAAATTGAACCAAACACCTACATATCTTGACTTAACAACCACCTTATAAAAAACATCTTTTGATGTTTGAGAGAAAGCAAGACGCCATCTAGAATGTATATTCTTCATGGTGAAAATAGGTGTTGTAAGTAAGGGTCGCATAATGGCCCGCCCGTCCTGCCTTAAGTCCGCCAAAAAAGAGTGGGACGGGCAAGCCCACCGCCCGTCCCACCAAGTGAGATTGGGCTTACAAGTCTAGTCAGCCCCCGTCAAAGTGACAGATTAGCGGGCGACTGATTTGTCTGCCTATATTTTTATTTTTATTTTATTTTTTATTTTTTAATAAATTAAATTTTTTTTATATTTCAATTAGATTTTTCACTTATTTTTTAGAATATTTTTTTATAAAATTTGTCAAAGAACAAATATAAGAACATAATTAATAGTGCCATGTCAAACTTTTTAAAATAGAATAAACATACATAAAGATGTATCAACATACATAAACATTCTTATTGAGATTCTCTACATACTAATCAAATAAGCAAATAATATCCTGCAAAATTGTATATAAGGTTGGAACAAGTGACATAACAAACTATCCGTTTATGTATCTTATGTGAATCTCAATAGTCAAGTCATATATTAAATGACAAAAGAAAAATGCCTGACTACACTAAATTAAGGTAATGATTCATTTGAATGAATGGAGATTCATCCTAATAAATTGTGATTCAAAATAAGATTCATATGAAAATAAATCCACAATATAGATTCATATCAGTTGAGATTTGTTTTGTATCAAATTGAGATAATACTTGCATGATAATATTTGTCATAATTATCATGAAATACTTGTCATAATTATAGACACATCAACCTAAACATACAGAGCATGATAATTGATAATGCAAAGGAAAAGAAACAAGAATGTAAAATGGTGGCTTACTTTCTCAGGAAGACAGTAGCCATGATCAATGTGAATGAGCCACGTCTCGCCACTTGACTCTTTTCTAAACAATATATTCCCTGCATGCATATCTGCATTAATCATTCTTATATCAAGCACACTGATCTTATGCACCTCATTCATAGGAAAAGCACCGGGTCCAATATAATTAAGAATTTATTTCAGTTTTGACTATACTTGAAATAAGAAATTAATGATATAATTTTTAACTCTAAAACAAAATCATGTATGGGTTGTGGCCTGTAAGTCGGCCTGGCGGATGCACAGGGCGGAATGTAGCGTGCTCAAAATTCTAATCCAATCTACTATTTTTTAGCGGATGTACGCCGGTCTAATAGGTTATCGTCTGTTTTGTCACTTCTAGTTATAAAGACTCTCTCTTATAACTTCACATCCAAAACAAACTCCTCGTTTATTTTGAGATTATATGAGTATGATGTGGATAATTTTACAATATCCACAATGTGACTTCTGACCTCCCACGTTCATGAATAACACAAATCAGACTATTAAAATAATGACATGTCCGACACATGACAAGAAACCATCCTCAAAGATTTTTCCAAAATCATAAATAAATCTCAATCATTCTCAATTATCTTTTCTATTTTACACTTTTTTTGTTCTCATTACATATGTGTAACGTCTTAAGATAAAACACCATACAAGATATATCAATTCTCTCATCCTTACCATAAAAACAACACTAAAACCTTTAAAATAGACAATATAAACTTTTTATTTATAAAATAATATATCTCCTTTATTCAATACAAAAGATATTTAATTAATGAATTTTAACAAACACATTGTGAACAACATCAAAAAAACACTTCGTCGTCCCTGTGTTGTTGTCTTGCTGTCTTGCACTATATTATTATTGAGCCATGAATGTTAACAACTAAAAAAACTTATAAGGTGAAATGTACTAGGAGTATCTCTTCCTTCAAATTTTCAATTTGGTTTTTACAATTTTGTTATCCACTTGATATGTGGACAATATACAACAACGTGAATACGTATGTCCTGACAATTTGATTCTAATAGATGAGCTTAAATTTGATTTTTGAAAAGTGTAAATGTTTTTTATTAAACAATTAATTAAAAACATAAAAAGATTGCTTGCATATAGATTGTGCCAACCTTAGCAAAGTTTCCTTAGTCCTTACCTGCCCATGTAAGCAAAACAACATTCCACTAATGTTCTGCTTTTCATCACTTTTATGCTATCATGTATCTTGCTGTTCGACTTCTAGAATCTTCTTTGTTTAACATGCAAGTAATAGCTACAGTTGAATTCACAACTCATTTTATTCAAATATTGTTCACTTTTCTAAATCCATAATAACTAGCCACATACATCACTTTATAAATTTTTAATTTAAATGCATACTTTTCAAAATGCGTTCATTGAGAAATTGATATTTAAACACTTTTTTACTTTTACGATTATACCCTTCGATAACTTGCTATAAATTTCTGTTTCTTTCTTTAGTTTAAGTGCAGTTTCAAATTCCCAACGTTAACATGACAAACTTGGTTTCTTGTTCCACATTTCTTGTTCTCTTCCTAGCATTCAACTTTGCATGTAAGTTGCATCTCAATCCATCGTAGATTCAAATTCAGTTTTTTTTGTCAAGTAGATAAGATGTGGTATATTCAAACTCTTTGTTCATATACCTACTATGTCTTTGTGTGATGTCACTATATAACTATCGATTAATTATTTTATTTAATTTTTGTTATTAAAAGAAATATATACTACTAGCCGTAACATAATTTATTTTTTCAATTTTGTAGAATTTATTTATCTGAATTTTATTATTTTGGTAGATTCTGATCCGTTCCTTGGAGTGAACTATGGACAACTCGCCGACAACCTTCCACCACCGTCAGCCACCGCGAAACTACTCCAAACCACCGCATTTGAAAAAGTCCGATTATACGGAACCGATCCTGCCATAATCAAAGCTCTAGCCAACACCGGGATCGGAATTGTAATCGGAGCTGCAAACGGCGACATACCAGCACTCAGTTCCGATCCATCTTTCGCAAAAACCTGGATAAACACCAACGTGATTCCCTACTATCCCGCTAGCAACATCATCCTCATAACCGTTGGTAACGAAGTGATAGATTCAAACGATACGAATCTTGTGAACCAGATGTTGCCGGCGATACAGAACATGCAAGGCGCACTTGAGGCGGTTTCTCTCGCTGGCAAAATTAAGGTTTCTACGGTGCATACTATGGCGGTTTTGAAGAACTCTGAACCTCCTTCTGCTGGAAGTTTTCATCCTGAGTATAGTACCGTTTTGCAGGGTTTGTTGTCGTTTAACAAAGATACTGGTTCTCCTTTTGCTATTAACCCTTACCCTTATTTTGCTTACAAAAGTGACCCTGGAAGAGCAGATAATTTGGCCTTTTGCCTTTTTCAGCCCAACGCGGGCCGAGTTGACTCGAACACTAAGCTCAATTACATGAATATGTTTGATGCTCAGGTTAGTCAAAATATCAACTCTCATTAATTTCCAGTAGCTTTATGATGATCAGAATCCTATGCAGTAGTCCATCTTGCATGCACTCAAAACGACCCTCGTGATGAAAATTATGATAATTGCATTTATTAGTTGTTGTTTTTTTGTGTAAATTGCACATATCGGTTGAGGTTTTACACTACATATGAATAAATTTCTTATATTGCATCTGTTTTATTAGATGAGTTAAAAAGAGTGTATATCTATTGAGTATAAGGCTAAAAAAAGTTATGTTTTAGTTATTTTAGGAACGCGGAAGCTTAAAATGCTTGTTTTTTCATGAGTTTGTAATATGCAGGTGGATGCGGTTCGATCTGCCTTAGATGCTATGGGTTTTAAGGAAGTTGAGATTGTAGTTGCGGAGACAGGGTGGCCATACAAAGGGGATCCCGATGAGGCTGGACCGAGTATTGAGAATGCAAAGGCTTACAACGGTAATCTCATTACACACCTGAGGTCCAAGGTTGGGACTCCGTTGATGCCGGGGAAATCAGTGGACACATACATATTTGCCTTGTATGACGAGGATTTGAAACCTGGAGCTGCTTCTGAGAGAGCCTTTGGGCTTTACAACCCTGATCAATCAATGATATATGATGCCGGCCTCTCGAAGGAAAGTTCTACTCCTACTAGCAGCCCCGTGGCCGCACCGGTATGCTCTCTATCACTATAATATCACAGTATTACATGATCATTCATTGAAAATTGTCATTGGTTAATGCTTAACCAACTTCATATAGTTTAATGAGCATGAACCATGAACCTTAAACCACCAAGAATCATCATTTTCATAGCTCTCATCTTGAACCTGTTCTAGAGCACCTACACTATTGTTGTGTTAACTATGTATTTTTGAATTTGATTGAAGACTCCGGAAGTGTCGAAAACTCCTGTGATTGCAGCACCAACAGGTCCAAGTTCTACACCAAAAGGCCGTAGTGCTACGCCGAGTAAAGCGGAATTCTTAAATGGACATGAAGCCAGCATTTTGCAATCATTAATCATGCTCACATATCTTATCTTATTGTTGTTCTAGTAGTGTAAATAACACTTTGTAATTCTGAATTTTATTGAAGATTAATCCGGATGTGTCAAAATCTCCTTTGAATTTGACGCCAAAAGTTTCAAGTCCAACATTACCGTATAATAGTAACATAGCATGGTGTGTGCCAAAACCAGGATTAACTGATGTGCAGCTACAAGCAAACTTAGATTATGCTTGTGGGCAGGGGATTGATTGCAGCTCAATCCAACCAGGAGGAGCTTGTTTCGAACCTAACACATTAGCAAATCATGCAGCATATGCCATGAATCTCTTTTATCACACTGGGCAAAATCCATTAACTTGTGATTTCTCACAGACAGCCACACTAACATCAAATAACCCAAGTAAGTCCTCATGTGGTTTTTGCGCAACATGACCTGTTTTGATTATTTTACTCAATTGACATGCTCACTATAAAATATATACTTTGTTTATTTTTGTAGGTTATAATAGTTGTGTTTATGCTGGAGGGAATGCATAGTTTAAAAAACAAGAAAGTAGATAAAGGGTGTTGGTGTTTTTATTTTTGTTGTTGTTTCAACTCTTATTTATTAATTGTTTAAAAATGTTTTGGTCTTAAGAGTGTTCTGAAGTAAAACAATGGTGTCTGTACAGAGGATCCTCCTCCTCTATTTCTGTTGTAAACGTTTCAATGTCTAGGTTAGAAGCAACCTGGTGCATTTTTTTATGAAGTGTGTTTGCTGTGAAGTGTTGAGTCATCATTGAAATCTTGATGTCCCTGCTAATGTTGGTTCAAATAATATGATGTTTTTCTTTGAAGTTGTCTTTTACAAGGACACAACAAATGTGAAGACCCAGAACAAAACTAAAACTAACTCACAAAATCAAATGAAGCTATTCATGCAACTTTATCATCTTCAAATCGTTTACATTTTGTCTATTAATTCCAAAAATGGTAAATATCATCAAGGTATTGTGGAATATGTGGAATATGATTGGCGCATCAGTGAAAGAAAACAATGAACTCCCCTCAACTTTTCCCTATAGCCAATACCACAACCTTACTTTACTAAAATCAAAGATAGAATCATGACAAATATCCAAAAATAAAATGTCAAATTGCTCATACAAGAGGCCTTCGCCATGGGACTCCATTTTCCCTTATCTATTTGTTATGTGCATGAATTTTTTATCTCATGCTATTATGAAGGCAGATAATAACAATCAATGGAAGCCTGGGTGTATTTTAAGGAATGGCCCTTCCCTTTCCCACCTCTTTTTTGCTGATGATGTGTTATTTTTCTCTAAAGTTATTGTCACTCAAGCAACTATTATTGAAGGTGTGTCGGAGGAGTTTGTTGGTAAATCTGGTCTTAAAGTGAATGTAAATAAATCTAGAGCATTCTTCTACTGCCACTAGAAGAAGTTGGAAGAAGTAAGATTGATTCTATTGTATATATCGCGAGAATTAGACACACTACATCTCTAGAGGCTAGTCGGTGAGACTTTGAATTTTTGGTTGACAAGATCCATCACATGCTCAATTCTTGGAAAAGCAAGCTTTTAAGCAAAACGGGTAGAGTAACTTTGGCTAAATTTGTTTTGTCGTCGATCTTCACTGATTACATGCAATTGACCTGGTTGCCCAAAACTGTCTACGACCTTATTGATAAATCCATCAGGAATTTCATCTGGAAAGGGACTTATGATAAGGGTGTATATCCATCTTGTGGGATGGAATTTAATAACTAAGCCTAAGAAGGATGGTGGTTTGGATATTCGTATGGCTAGGAATCAAATTCAGCTATGTTGGATAAATTGGTTGGGATATTTATAATAAGTCTGCGAAGCTTTTGGTCAAGTTTTTGAGGCATAAATATGTTAGGGATGCTCAGTTCTTGGAAGTTTCAAACAAGCGATGGTCGGTTGTTTGGAATTCTATTATCAAAGCAAAAGCAATGTTGAGAGATGGTTTTGAGTTTCGGTTAGGCAATAGTCCCTGGCTTTGGTATGTATTGGAAATGTAATTTAGTTAATGTCTACAATTCTCAATGTTTATTCTTTAATAGGGTCTTTTGACATTTTCATTTTTAATATAAATATGATATCTAGGTTATCAATATTGTAACTCATTCATTCCTCTTTTAAATATACAATAGTATTCCTCTTTGTTATCATTCATTGCTCATTCTTCTTCTCCCCTTTCATTACCTTGCATCAACAAATTGGTATCTAGAGTACTTGGTTCTGTTTTTCTTGGGAAACACGAGTGTTTGTGAGCTGTGTGTTTGATTTTGGTTCACTGATTTTCTGTTGAAATCTTGAACAGAATCTGATTATGTGGGTTGGGAAACAGTGTGTGTGAAGATCTGAAAATCTGTGCAAGGTTTAAAATAAGTGGAGACTGTAGTTTGAGCACCAAACTCCCAGTTTTTAATGGCAAAAACCTGGAACAGATGGATGACACAAATGTGTGTGCTGTTTGGTGCACAAGATGTTCTGGATCTAGTTACAGATGGTTATGTACCAGTTGCAGCAGATGCAATTGAAGAACAGAGAACTGCTGAGAGGATGATGAGGAAGAGGGACCATAAAGCTCTGTTTTATATCCATCAGTGTGTGGGTGAAAGTGTGTTCGAGAAGATTGCTGATTCAACAACGTCAAAAGGGGCGTGGGATTTACTGGTGAGATGTTACGGTGGTGACGCATCAGTAAAGAAGGTGAAACTTCAATCCCTACGAAAGCAATATGAGAACCTGAACATGAAGAGCAGTGAGAAAATTTCTGAATATATCTCCAGAGTGATTCTGATCACTAACGAGATGAAGGCGTGTGAAGAAACTCTGTCTGAACATGTAATCATAGAGAAGATTCTAAGGTCGTTTACTCCTCAGTTTGATTACATTGTTGTTTCTATTGAACATTCTAAAAATCTGGAAACCATGAGAATCGAAGAATTGCAAAGCAGCTTAGAAGCACAGGAGTTACGTCTGTCTGAGAGAACTTCTGAGGGGGAAGATGAGCAAGCTCTGAAGACTTCTTTTGTCAAGAAAGACCAGAAGCAGAATAGACGTGGTGATAGATTCCAGAAGTCAGAAGCCTCAACTTCTGATGACAAGAAATATCATAAAGGAAAGGAGAGGTATGACAAAAGGAAGGTTTAATGTTACTCTTGTAAACAATTTGGCCATTTTGCCAGAGATTGTAGGTCAAACAAGGAAAGGAAATCAGAAGAAGCATATATGGCTAAGAGAAACTCTGATGATGAACTGTACTACTAATGGCTTCTGATTCTGATGGAAAATGCTCAGAAGATTGGTGGTATATGGACACTGATTATTCAAATCATTTAACTGGAAATAAACAATGGCTGGCAGACTTTGACTCCAGAAGGAGAACAAAGATCAGATGTGCTGACGATAAGTATCTTAATGTAGAAGGTATGAGAGATGTCAGAGTTAGAGTGAAGAATGGGAAAGACATTCTGATCAACGATGTTTGGTATGTTCCTGGTATTAGAAGCAATCTGATGAGCGTAGGTCAGCTGATTAAGAAAGGTTTCTCAGTTGTTATGAAAAACAATCTTCTGACGTTGTATGATTCCAATCAGAATTTAATTATGAAGTATGAACAAGGAGGCAACAGAACATTCAAGGTAAATGTAGAAACAGATGAAGCAACATGCCTTAGTGCAGAAGGTGCTGAAGGTAACACTAAGTTGTGGCATAAAAGGTTGGGGCATTTGAACTATAGAAGCTTAGGGCATCTATGTTCTAAGAATCTTATACATGGTATTTCGAAGTTTGTGAAGCCTGAGAAGTCATGTGAGATATGCATGAAAGGCAAGCAATCTAGATTGCCATTTACATCAGAAGTAGCCCCCAAAGCGAAGCATGCTCTGGGAGTAGTACATTCTGATGTGTGTGGACCATTTCCAGTATCTTCACTTGGAGGAAACAATTATTTTGTGTCTTTTGTGGATGAGTTCACAAGAATGACATGGGTAACACTCATCAAGTTCAAGCATGAAGTGTTTACTGAGTTCCAGAAATTCAAGGTGAAGGCTGAGAAGCAGAGTGCTCAAAAGTTAAAAATTCTGAGAACAGATGGTGGAGGTGAGTATAACTCTACAGTGTTTCAGAAGTTCTATGAGGAGATTAGAATAAAACATGAGGTTACTGCTCCATATACTCCTCAGCACAACGGTCTTGCTGAAAGAAGAAACAGAACTTTGCTTGATATGACCATAAGCATGCTAAATGAGAAAAAACTACCTCACGTGCTATGGGGAGAAGCTGTTGCCACATCAGCATATATTCTGAACAGGTGTTCAATGAAGAAACTGAAAGAAGTTGTTCCTTTAGAGAAACAGACTGGAGATAAGCAAAGTGTCATTCATCTGAAGGTGTTTGGCTCTGTCTGTTACAAACACGTTCCAGAAGCTAGAAGACAAAAACTGGATGATATAAGCAAAGTAATGTTGTTGGTGGGGTACTACAGTACAGGTGCGTATAAGCTTTATTGTCCAGAAACTAATAAAGTTGAAGTCAGCAGAGACATTGTGGTGAAAGAGTCTGAACCATGGAATTGGAACAAATCTCAAATAGATTCTGGTGTAGTGCCAACACCAGAGTTATCCTCTGAAGATGTTTTAGAAAGTTCAAAAGATGAATCTGATTCTGAAGATCTTGAAGATTCTGAAGATGAGTCAGAAAAAGATTCTGGCAATGGATCTAATTCTGATCCAGATGCTGATAATGACCCAGAATCTGGTGGTGATCATAGTTCTGGAAGGAAAAACTCTGAAGATGATAATTCTGAAAGTAGTAGTTCTGGTGCAGCTTCAGAACAAACTCAAAGACCACAAAGAATCAGACAAAAACCAAGAAGGTTTGCAGAGTTTGACATGTTGCTAGACACTGAAGTAAACTCTAAAGGAGAAGTTATTCAGTGTGCAATGTTAGTAGACTCTGAATCCGTGAGTACGAAAGAGGCTCTTAAGCACCAAGTTTGGTTACAGGCCATGAAAGAAGAACTTGATGCTATAGAGAGAAACAAGGCTTGGAATCTGAAAATTGATTCATTTTTCAAGAAGCAGAGGTTTCATAAGTGTGAGATGGAATATGGAGTTTATGTACAACACTCTGATAACAATATGATTCTGATGTGTCTCTATGTTGGTGATATTTTGCTAATAGGTAGCTGCCTAGAAGATATAAAGAAATTCAAAGAAGTTCTGATGATTAGACCTGACATTTGTTATGCAGTTGGATTGGTTAGCAGATTCATGAGTAATCCAAAGTGGTCTTATTTCCAAGTTGCTATCAGAATTCTGAGATATATTAAGGGAACTCTGAGATATAGAGTGTTGTTTCCTTCTGAAAGAAAGACATAATCAAAATTAGTAAGTTATTCTGATTCTGACTGGTGTAGAGACAGAGTGGACAGAAGAAGTACTTCTGGATACTTGTTTAAATTTCTGGGAGGTTCCATTTCCTGGAGTTCCAAGAAACAGCCTGTCGTGGCTCTGTCAACATGTGAAGTTGAGGAACCTCTGAAGCTGATGATTAATAATAAGTCTGTAATTGATCTTGCCAAGAATCCAGTGCTACATGGAAGAAGCAAGCACATTGAGACGAAGTATCATTTTCTCAGAAGTCAAGTGCAGAAAGGAGTGTTAGAAGTTCTGCACTGTAGCACTCAGAAACAGCTTGTGGATCTTCTAACAAAGGCAATTAAAACAAATCAATTTCTTCATTTGAGAGATGAAATTGGTGTTTTTATCTTCTGATAGAATATCTAAATTAAGGGATGGTATTGGAAATGTAATTTAGTTAATGTCTACAATTCCCAATGCTTATTCTTTAATAGGGCCTTTTGGCATTTTCATTTTTAGTATAAATATGCTACCTAGGCTATCAATATTGTAACTCAATTCATTCCTCTTTTGAATATATAATAGTAGTCCTCTTTGTTATCATTCATTACTCATTCTTCTTTTGCCCTTTCATTACCTTGCACCAACAGTATGCACCTTGGTCTAACCTTGGCAAACTTAGTAATCAGGTTTGGTATGTGGACATTCATGATATCCATAGGACCATAGTTGATATTGATCGAAATGGTAAATGAGATTTTTCTCAAATATACACACAACTGCCTCCCAATGTCCTCAAATCCCTATCTATTATCCCAGTTCGCCTTAATGACAGTGTCCATAATGGCTTCTCTTGGAAAGGTAACTTAGATGGTACTTATTTGGCCAAGGCTGGTTATATTTGGTTAAAAAGGTTGTCGCCTTTGGAGAAGGAGGTGGTGTATACTCCTATTGGAATTGGATCTGGCATCTACAAACGGCAGAAAAATTAAGGTTTTTATTTGGGCTTCCTGTCATGAATCATTACCAACTAGACAAATGT